GATACCTGAAGATGTCAATGGCCAGCTCGCTGTGACAGTGGCCGTTTAGCCGCTGGGGGGCCACATCCTGGGCCCAGCGCTGTGACTCCAGGTCCAGGGCTCGGGCCATCAGCTCCTTCACGCTGGCCTGGGGGCCAGGGAGAGTCGGGTCAAGGTAGCAAGGAACCCATCAGCCCTGCCCATGTGGGAGCCCTGTCAGGCTCCCTGATGTCCTGACTGTCCCAGAGCCTCCCTCCGCTTCCTTCCTGCCCCTCCCTGGCCCGGCCCCGGCACTGTCATTGGACTCACCACCTCGTTGGACAGGAATGTGGCCTCCAGCAGCCGGACCTGCTTGGGGGGCAGGAGGCTCCCCAGGTTGATCCCCTGCAGCTCACCTGCCAGGCTGGCGCTATTGATGATGTCGCTGTGGGCAGAGGGGCTGGCGTGAGGCAGACGGCCCCACCCAGCACCATCCTGAGGTGAGAGCCTACCCCCCTCCCTGCCTCTCCACCTCAGATGATGGATCCTCTATCTGTTCAGGTAAAAACCTTGGAATCATCATGCCTCCTTTTACTCTCTCATCCACTCAGGCTCCAAAACATCCCCCCGCCCTGCCCCCATCAGCCTCCAGCCACCCAGCCAACCACCCCATCTCCCGCCTGGCTCATTGCCGGAGCCTCCTCCCAGGCTCCTGCTTCCGCCCTTGTCCACCAGCAGGCAGAACCTGCTCACCTCCTCCTGCAGATCAAATCCCAGCTCCCCTCTCACACACAGGAAACCCCGCTCCCTCTGGCAGCAGCCTGAGACCAGCCACCCCTCCTCCTCTTCCCACCCTGTCCCTCCCTCTTCCCTCCCTGCACCCCAGCCCTAGGCCCCCTCCCTCCCGGCCACCCCTGCTGCCCGCAGAGGCTGGGCCAGCCAAGCAGGAAGGGCTGCTTGCAGGGCTCTGCGGAGGCGGCTCCCCTCACCCTCCTGGCGCCTCTGCGGGGTCCAGGGCCCCCAGGGACGGCCCAACCTTGACACTTCCTCAGGGCCTTTGTCTGCAGGAGGCTCTGCCCCTCCGCAGCCTGGACACCATGTCCCTTTGCTGCCTGCACTTCTGCCACACAGGCCTCAACAAAGCCTCCGGAACCCCCCTCAGGACTCCCTGCCCAGCCAGCCGCCGTTTCCGCTGTGTCGACCCCAGTGGGCCCCAGGCTAAAGGCCCCCGGTCACCAGTCACCGGGACAGGAAGGCTGCCTGCCTGGCAGAGGTGTGTGTGCCCAGCGTTTCCTGTTGAGTCAGGCCCTCAGCCCCTGCCCTGTGCCACTGCCCTGTGCCCTGCTGACTCCTCACCCACCACCCCACTGGGCCCTTCCTCCGGACCTGCTGACCACCGGCACCAACTGAGCCCACTGGCCACCCAGGTGGGTCCCCTCCACGCTGCTCAGACTGTCTACTCCTCTGGGCTTCCCGCAGGCTGCCCACTGGGGGCTGGGCCAGCCCTTCAGGCCCCCCTGGCCTCTGCTGGGCACTTCCACACTCCGTCTCCCCCCACCCAGCTGTGCGGAGACCCATGGAGTCTGGGTAAATCGGGACGCCTGAGGCTGTGCCCACGGCTACCAGGCCCCCTCCACGGGCACCGCCAGCCTCCCACCGAGGCGCTCCAGGCCCCCCGGCCGGAACTCAGCTCAGCTGTGGGCTCACGGGGATCTTTCCGTGGCCCAGCCTGGACCTGCTCTCCGAGCTTCCTGGGAGGCCCCCATCACCTGTCCATAAAGCCAAACACTGACAAGCTCCGCACAGCTCCCAGAAAGCCTCCCGGCTCCGCTTCAGGCCCAGGGAGTGACTCCCTTCGCAGAGAGCACCATCCTCCCTCTGCCTTCTTCCTGGGCCCCCTCCCCTTCCTTCTGTGGGATTGGGAGCTGGCCCTGCTCAGGGACCTGGGCGCCTGCTCCAGGCAGACCCTGCTGGCACCTCCTCAAGCCCACTTCCTGGACTGACCAGGCCAGGCTAGGGCTCTGCCCTGGGCTCCCACAGTCCCTGGCCTCCTCTGCCACAGCCCTTCCAGCTCTGGATTGCCATCATCTGCCCACCCTTTGCCCAGTTCACGAATGAATGAAGTTCTGGGCCCGGCTGGCGTGGCTCAGCGGTTGAGCGTTGACCTATGAACCAGGAGGTCACGGTTCGATTCCCAGTCAGAGCACATGCCCAGGTTGCAGGCTCCATCCCCAGTGTGGGATGTGCAGGAGGCAGCCGATCAATGATTCTCTCTCATCATTGATGTTTCTCTCTCTCTCTCCCTCTCCCTCCTCTCTGAAATCAATACAAATGTATTTTTTTAAATAAGTGGCAGCCGATCGATTCTCTCTCATCATTGATGTTTCTCTCTCTCTCTCCCTCTCCCTCCTCTCTGAAATCAATACAAATGTATTTTTTTAAATAAGTGAAGTCCCTGCCTTTCTCTGCACCTCAGTTGCCCCAACTGCACCTGTTTTCCCAACTGAGGCCCTGGGAATGAAGGGTTCCAAGTGCGAAGCAGACCCCAGCAGGCCTAGGCTTCACCGCCCTGCTAGCTGTCCGCCCATGGGGACCCCTCCCCGCGGCCCAGGGCCCCGCCCACGGGGACGCCACCTGGGGGACCTGGTTT